TGTAAGGCTCAGCTCCCCAACAGCCTTGAATGGCTGCAGTTTGGGGGTAGGGTGCTCTGTGAAGCTAGTCCTCTCAGCAGGGAGAGTTTTAAATAAGTATTTCAAGTAGAAAGATAGGATTTCCTTTTTATTTCTCTAAGAATAAATATGATTGCGTTCCAGTTGATATTGCTAATTCATTTTTAGCATTTCATTTAAACGTCTTTATTTTTTAAAGTTTGAACATCTTTTTTCTTTTTTCCAGAAAAGCTTTACTCTTCACATACTAACCTGGTCTTATTTACTCTATTGTGAATAACAACCCAATGTCATTTCTAGCAATGTGATTACTGTATAGTTTAAGATTTTATTTAATGTTTACAGTTCTAAATCCTCTTGAAAGAAGTCCTGCATGTAAGGACTTGATAAGCAGCTAGATTTATCTGTTTTATTTGCTTTCAATTTTTTTCTGGAGGGTACAGGGTCTTGTTATGCAGCTCGGACTCATAGTGATCCTCCTGTCTCAGCCTCCCCAGCACTGGGATTATAGGTGTGCACCACCACACCCAGTTTTTGGGCCGGCACAGAGGCACAGCATGCGGTACTGGGGATTGAACCTGGGCCCTTGCACTTACTTGCCAAGCAGGTGCTTAGACTGCTGAGCTATCTCCCCAGCCCTTGTTTTCAATTTTTAGAGATTACTTTTTAAAATTTAACTTTAAATTATAATTACATGAAACATTTACAAAGTTCCAGAAAACCAAAGTTAGCACAAAAATAAGGCGTATTCTGAAAAGACTGTTTCTGAAATTCACCCCCCTGTTCCTCACTCTTCCTATCATCTATAAGAAGTAATTTTTATCTGGTTTATCATTTTATTAAGAAAATATGTATGTGGAGAATAGAATGTTGATTACCAGAAGCCAAGAAGAACAGAGGGGAGGGAAGATCGGGTGAAAATTGACCAAGGGCATGAAGTTACGGTCACGCAGGAGTCAGAAGTGTCATTGTACACGTAGACTGATCAGCAACAATAATGTTCTATGCATTTAAAAATACAGAAGAGCTTGAATGTTTTTCCTATAAGGAAATGATACTTATTTAAGAGATAGATATATTTATTTATTTATTAAATGCATCTGGTTGTTACAGGGTCTCACTACGCAGCTCGGGCTCATAGCGATCCTCCTGTTTTTCAGCCTCCCTAGCGCTGGAATTACAGGCGTGTGCCACTGTGCCCAGACTCTGGCTGGCTCAGCCTGCCCTGGGGGCAGGGCTAGTGTGGCATGCTGGGGATCGAACTGCGATCCCTACACTTACCTAAGCTTGCTTAAGCCTTAGGTGCTTTATTCTGCTGAGCTATCTTGCCAGCCCCAAGATAGAAACATTGAACTTAATTTTAATATTACAATGTATACGTGCTTTCAAACATTACATGGTACTTCATTCATCTATTGTGTTTTCATATGTCAGTTAAAAATTAATTTAAATTAAATAAGAAGCAAAAGGGTATGTGCACTTATACATACTTGTATATATAGTGTGTGTACATAACAATGAAAATATATTTACATTTCTTTTTAGATAAAGAGTGGACGTATGATATATACTTTATTGCTGGAGATCATTGCATGGCAACTTATTCAAATATGTTTCATTTTTTATAGCTGCATGGTATTCCACTATGGATAGCTTCTACCACAGTTTATTTAACTCAGCTCCTACCTACAAAAATTTAAATTTTGCCCATCTTTTACTGTTCTAAGTGGAGCTTTAATGAATATCATGTGTGTACATCTTTTCATATTTTCTTTTTTGCAGAACCAGAGATTGAACTCAGGCCCTTGCACTTTCTAGGGAAGCACTTATTCTACTGAGCCATCACCCCGGCCCTCATTTTTTCATATTTTTTTTCTGTGCATTTTCAGACAGATTCCTGTCTCTTTGAGATTGCTGGGTCAAAATGTAAATTATTTACATTTTCTAAATATTTGACCAATATTATCTGGTAACAAACTTAGACGGTTACTCATTGAGTAAGTTAGAAGTACGATTTTGGTAGTCTTAATATGGATAGCTAGATTGAGCATTTATTTGTCATATATTTTGAGTATTTGTCATATATTTAAGTACTCTTCATATTTCTTTTTCTAAGAACTAGCTCTGGAGCACTTTTCTCTTACAGTAACTGGTCTTTTACGTCTGTATTTATGAAGTTCTTCATTTCTCATGACTATATAATATAGAGGTAATAACTGTCTGTTTCATAATTGCAAAATGTTTCTAGCTTGTCACTCCTCTTCCTCCCTTTCTTGTTTTCATTTTTACCATACAAACATTTTTTATGTTGTTAAATTTATTCATCATGCCTTTCTTTATTGCTTCTGAATTTTGAGTCATTGTCGGGAAAGATTTCCCCACTGCCAGATATTGGAGCGCTGGCTCATGTTTTCTTTTAGTGCTTATAGGATTTCTTCTTCTTTTTTTTTTTTCACACTTAAATCTGAGTCACTTGGACTTTACCCAGGTGTAGGGTGTGGGAAAAGAACAAAATTGTATCCTGTTCCATATGGCTCTTGAGCCAGCTATATTTATTTTTATTATTTTCTGTATTGTAGGGAAGGGTATACCGGGTGTTCAGGGTCTCCCTGCTAGATTGGACTCACAGTGATCTACCTGTTTACAGCCTCCCAAGAGCTGGGATTACAGGGGCGCGCCACCACGCCCAGTCTCGAGCCAGCTAGTAAAAAGTCCCTTTTCCAACATGGAGTCAATACAGTGCTTTACCACAGACTAAGTCTTGAACAAGTATGTGGACAAATCTCTGCACTTTCTTTTCTGTCCCCTGCGTCTGTCTGTCGTTTCCCGTGACAGCCCACGGGCCGAACATCACGATGGCTTTGTGCTATGCCTTAGTCTCCCTAGCCATCTTTCCTTCGTCGCTGTTCTGCTGCCCAGAATTTTGAGCAGTTTTTCGTGTTCTTCCAAATGACCCTTATGATCAGTTTATCTGGATGCCGAAAAGTGGGGATGGCATTACTGTTGGGACTGCCTTAAATCTGTACATCGACTCAGGGAGGATTAATGCCTTTATGTACCGTGTCCTCCTGTTCAAGTGGCACCGTATGTCTTTCCATGTGTTCAAGTCTACTTTTGTGTCTTAAAGGAGTGTTTCATAATTTTCTTTATATAGGTTTTGGACATTTCTTTATAAGCTTTATATATTCTCACAGTCTTCTAACTTTGTTATGTTTTATGTCTTGCTGTTTTAAACAAGCTTTTTAAAATATTCTCTTGTTTTTGAAAGTTGATGTTCTAACCTACCACTTTGCTAAATTCTCTCATTGGATATGGTAGTTTTCCTATGTCGCGCCGTCTTTGTTTACTTGTTTATTTTCACAGCACTACAGATGGAACAAGGGCCTCACACGGGCAGCGGTGCCCAGCCCCTGAGTTACAGCTCAGCCCAAACCATTCCATTCTAAAGTAGAGAGGGGGGCCAGGGAGATGGCTCAGTGGAATAAGCGCTTCCCTGGCAAGTGCAAGGGCCTGAGTTCAATCCCCGGTTCTGCCAAAAAAAATAAAGTAGAGAGAATTTTACTCTCCCCTTCCAATATGCCTTGGATCTCGGTGCTGTCATAAGCCCAAGAGTCGCGCGGTGGCACGCTTGCCTGGCCGAAGCTTCTGCAGAAGAGTCTCAAGCTCTTTTCAGAGGTTAGCTTTCAGCTTTAGGTCAATTTTATCTCGTGATTTTTTAAAAGACACGAATGGATATCTGTTCAAGTGCATTTTCTGCATCTGTAGAGGTGACTACAAAACTATTCTCTTTAGCTTTGTGTTATTTTATATGAACTACCCAGGTCGTCTTTTCTAGTGTGCGCCCTAGTTAAGAACATTTGCTTCTCTACGTTTTGTGCCACTAAAAAGCACCAAGGGCTCAGCTCTGAACTTGGAAAGAGCACGGCAGTGCCGCTCCCCTCCAGCCTAGGGACCGGCCAGCCCCTGCAGAAGAGGCACAGAGGCTCAGGTCTGGACCTGTATTCCAGAGTGGCCACACATGAGATGCGTGGCCCCGAGAAGGTGGTGTGATGTTGTTATGCCTTGGTTACCTCACTGGTGACCGAGGTGATAACAGGACGCACATCTTATGGAGTACAGACAGTGCCTGGCCCCATCGTGTTCTTTCCTTTCCTCACTTTGGGTTTTGTTTTGCAACGGTCTTCCATTTGCATGGTGTGCCATTGTCCTAAAAAGTTGCACAGTGCAGTGTCCTTTCCACGCCTAGGCCAGTTATTGTTGTTTGAACCAAGAAGAACCAATGAGAATCTGTCCCGGGCAGCTTCCCCCAGGTGCTACACGTGCGGATAATGTGCACAGGTGTACTGTGTCCGCTCCCTTCTTATGCAGAAGTGGGGCATAGCCTGCGTAGCCTTGCACGCCATGGAAGGGCATGAGCGGCACCAGGAGACTGCTCCTCTCAGGTTCTGTTGGAGTACTTATTAGGATAGTGAATATTTAGGAGCGGTTTGAGCCCTTCCTTTGTTGGGGCTTCCTATTCAGGACCAAGATAGAGCCCTCTGTAATCTTAACTTTATCAATCTCACACTGTCCTGTAGCATTTGTGCCCATTCACACACTCCATGCCACTTACATTTCTATCTGGCCAGTGAACACAGGGACATTAGGGAGCAAGGGAATCAAAAGGGTTACAGAACACCCCCTTCGCTGGGCTTTGCTGGGTGTCACTACACACGACCATCCCTCTAGAAACAAGGCTCCAACCTGCTTGATCGCTCTCTCAGCAGCACTTGGGTTAGTGGGCTTGCTTGGGCAGAATCAGACCCAGAGAGAGAGTCCTTGGGATGGGGCTACGGTGGGGTGAGCCCTGGATCCTTGCCCTTGGACACCTGCATGTGGTGTTTGTTCAAAGTGAGGAGCCGGCCGCTGCCCTGGGCTGTGTGGAAGCTTTGCAGAGCTCCACTTTCCAGAGGGCTTGCTGTGAAGGCCGTCCCCTTCCTGTAACACAGTGTATCTGCTTCTGTCCCCTCATCATTGTCTGAGGCCAGCCTGAGTAGTGCCCTGCGCTGCCACCCAGGTGGTAGAAGGAGTACTGACTCAGCCAAGGGATGCGGAGGGCCTGAGAAGCAAGCTGCTTTGCCCCTGGAGCCCTCATCCCCTCTGGGTACATACTCAGAGATGTTGAGAGCCAGCGCCGTCCAGTAGGCTTCCATGGGGGCTGTCACCACTGCGTCAAACAGCACCTCCCGCACCAACTCCTCGTCGCCTGGGGGCAAAATCACAGGAGACTGAGCCACTTGTTCCCCGTTCTCCAGTGAGCTCCCTAGTGGTGTTTGTGCAGAGGAGCTGAAGGATGGCGCTCGGAAATCCCCCACAGGCGAGGGCCTTCTTAAGGTCATCTGGCCAAGAGCTCTGTTGGGTCTTTAGAGTACAGAGCACCAGCTGCTTGCCCAGGGCCACTGCTAGGTGATGGGACAGTGCTGACAGGCAGGCAGATGCCCCTACCACAGCCTTGTTAACAGAGACCCCAAAGGATGTCAGCCCTTGACCTGGGGACAACCTAGGTCATCACAGTTCTTTGTGAATAGTGTTGCGCTTGGACCTGTGGGGAGGCTAGTCGGTCCTGACTTTTCCTCTGATGAACAGCATCCCTGTTCTGTCCAGGCCACTTGTGTGCTACAGGGAAGGGCCATGTGCAGCCACCTCTCCCCACTCCTGACCTCCTCCTCCCTGCAAAGCTGTAGAGCTCTGAGGACAAGTTACCCCCCGGCTTGGGTTGCACTCACACTCTAGGTCCGGGTCCTCCCTGGTTAGGAAGCGGATCACAGCCTCCAGCTGGCTGAGCTTCCGGTGGTCTGGGTCAATATCCGTGATGCAGTAGATCCTGGAACCCAGGAGAGTCCGTGTTATCTCAAAACCCCACCTTTCTCTCTCCCACCCTCTGTTCCTGCTTACCAGTCACTGGCCAGGGTCAGATCTGGGTGAAGCAAGTCATGCAGGCCTGGAACCAGAGAGCACACTTAGGACAGTGTCCCTGCCTGGAATGTGTCCCCAGGCACTCAGGGGAGTTCTGGTCTTTCTCATTCATAGTCAGAGGGGGAGCTCAACTGACAGGTCATTTCCAGGTTTGCACAGAGGGCCTGTGCCCAAATCCCAAATGCTCCTTGGGGATGGGGTGAATGCTACATCCTTAGTGAGCTACCCGTTGGCCAGAGGTCGTCACCCTTTTCCCTCTGACTTTCACATCGTTCCCTGATTTCCAGGTTGGATTCCAGTCCTTATGGACAGTCCAGAAGTGGCTACGGTTAGTTCCCCTGAGTGCCTCCCTCCTAGGAACTGGTACTTTGAAACTAGTGATTGTGCCTTTGCTGGCTTCCGTGGGCCCCAGTGAGGGACGAGGTGAGAGGTGGACACGTGTGCCCCTGTGCCCTCTGTGGCCCCTGCCTAGCCCAGGCCTGCACTGATTGCGCTCAGTGCTTGATTGTCAGTAGAATGAGCAGTTGCTGTGCTGGCTCTGGCTTAGCGCTCAAGCATAAACAGGTGCTTCGGCTTTATTGAATTTGTAGGACAAGAGGATGCAAAGGCCAGCGGGCTTCTGGGAGCCCTTTGAAGGAAGGTTGGACTGACATAGACACAAATAGCTACAGAGAGGCCCAGCTGGCCACATGACTTCAAGCTCCTGGACCAGAAGTGGGTCTGTTCCCTGGAGTGATGTCACATGGGAACATCTGGGTGGAGGAAGACAGGTGTGGGAGGAAGAAGACACGGAGAAGGCCAGGGAGTGTGATGGCTTGGGGGGCTGTAGAAGGCAAAAAGGGGGGGGACTGTGACATCACAGCCCATCTCTCTGCAAGGGCAGTGTTGGGGGCTCCAGGTAAGTGCAGGGAGAGTCTGCCTGAGGCCGCTGTCCCACAAGTGTCCCCTGCACTGGGGCCTGAGGGTGGGTCAGAGTGGGCTGGGGAGGAGGTGCCTAGGTAGCTCATGTGGGGTGGGAACAGGGAGGGTGGAGGCCCTCCCTGCTACGTTCCCCACTCGCATTCCTCTTCTCTCAGTTTCACCCTGTGAGCTCCCTATTATGGAATGAACTGTGTTCCCCAAAAGTTACGCAATGGCCGTGACTCATCCACATGGCTGACACTGACAAAGGATCTACAATCCGAGGTACAGGATCCCAGGATAAATCCTGAGGGGATTTCACTGACCTTCTCAGATACAAAAGCTACAACTCTTGTTGCATAGGTCCTGCTTTATCTTGGTCTTAACCATCCAGCAGAAAAGTATAAAAATGAAGTATAAGAAGTAAAGCCATGCTGTTATGTTGAGCTTTAGGGGACTCAGGTCAACAATTTCTGACATTGCCAGTCAAGTAAAGACCCAATACTATTATGGACTACTGGACTACTTTGGAATATTTTGCTGAGTTCACACACCTCTAATATTTAAGTAATGGAACTAAACAAAAAAGGGGGATACAGATGAATGACCATTTTGTATCTGTGTATTCAAATTGGTTAGGATAGATATTTAGCTACATTCTCTTAATTCAATGAATAGAGGGATTTATTCTTTTTTTTTTTTTTTTTTTTTTGGTGGAACCAGGGATTGAACTCAGGCCCTTGCGCTTGCCAGGGAAGCGCTTATTCCACTGAGCTATCTCCCCGGCCCCCTAGAGGGATTTATTCTAACAGTGTTTGTAAATAGGATATCATGTCTGCATCTTGTACAAAAAATAACCACCAAGGTAGTATGCAATGTGTTAATTATTGGAACTGTCCTACCAATTTGATTTGAAACTGTCTCATTGCTATTTATTTCTCAATAAACTTATGGGAAAAAACCCCAAAGGTTATGCAACAGTCCTGCCCCCTGGAACCTGTGAACATGAGCATCTTTGGAAATAGGGTGTTGGCCGTGTTGGCCTCTGTACTCAAGATGAGGTCATGAGGGTGGACCCAGGTCCCATATGTTGGGTGTCCTTGTGAGAAAGGAAAAAGGGGCAAGCAGAGACCCCTGAGGGGAGCAGGCCCCGCAGCAATGAAGGCAGAGAAGATCTGTGGCAGCCAATAGCTGAGGAAGGCCTGGCATACCACAGGCTGGAAGAGGCAATGAAAAGCCCTCCCCACAGGAGCCCAGCCTCCAAAACAGGGAGAAAATACACTTCTGTGTTTTGAGACAAGTGCTCAGTGGTTCTCTGTAGTGGAAGCCTGTATGAATAGCTCGGCTCCCTCATTCTTAAAATTTTACTCTGAGATAAGGTCTGGTAAGTTGCCCCGGCTGGCCTGGAACTTGTGATCCGCCTGCTACAGCCTTCAGCTAGCTGGGGCTGCAGGTGCACCTGCCGCTTCCCGCTGTGTCCTTCACTCCTCCCACTTCCTTTCTACCCTAGGTGCAGTCTTGTGGTGGAAAATACAGCTTTGCAAAGAGACTCACTCTCTGGACAGCCCTTGTCTCTGGTTTAGCAGAGCCTCCTGGGCTCAGGCGACAAAAGACTGGCAATTCTTTGGTTCTGTTGATTTGATGACCAATTCCCGACAGTCACAGGGACTCACTGAACCTCCTCCCTTTCCACCGATGGTGCCTCCCAGCTGCAGGCACTTAAGCCCAGGACTGGGAGATGGTCCAAACCCATCCCACCGAGGATCCTGAGAAAATCCCATCAGTTCTTGGCCCAACTCACCTTCTTCCACAGATGTGTTTCCCAGGAGAATGCGCTCCCCGTGGCCCCTGGACAGCACCACACCCAAGCTGGAAAGAGAGGGGAAGCCACCTCACAGGCCTGGAACACCACTGGCTTGTGATCAGCCTTTTTCCTGAGAAGGGTCCCATGGATGCCACACCAAGGGCTCTCCACACCATGTTAAACTAGGCTCATCCTGCATATCACAGGCCCCCCGCTGGCAGCAGGAGGAGTCTGTGTGCCGGCTGCAGGCCATCCTTTCCCACTGGGTGAGGCCTGCCAGCCTGCCTCTGCTGGTGCAATGTCAGGCTGGAGTCCCTGAGAGCTGTAAGGCCCGGGCTTCCCCCAGGAATGTGGAACCATTCAGTTTGCTTGTACACTAAGTATAGGTGATTCTACAGAAGTCCCTGTGTAGTCAAGTGACCAATTAGAGCACGCAGATAGGGCTTTGCTGAGCCATAGAGTGACTCCAAAGCAAGAGCCATCTGTTCCCTAATTTGTGCTAAGGTTGGGGTCAAATATCTGTACAGTTGAAGAGATAGATATTCCAATATGACCCTTTGGTCTTACAAAGCACTGCTCTTAAATCTTTAAGCAGATTGTATCATTTTATCCTCACAGAACTGCCAAGAAATAGTTACCAGAGGCCGGGGATATAGCTCAGTGGCATAAGCACTTGCCTGGCAAGTGCAAGGTCCTGAGTTCAATCCCTGGTACCACCAAAAAAAGAAAGAAAGAAAGAAAGAAAAAAAGAAAGAAAGAAAGAGTTACCATTATTAGCCCTCATTTTGTAGAAGAGGAATCTAAGGCATAAAAAGATTAAATAATTTGAGGTCCCACAGACCATACTTGGTGGCCTTGGGAGTCATACCAGGAGTTTGGCTGCAGAACTAGCACACCTGGCTACACTGGCAAGGCAGGGCTGGGCTCCTCTGCAAGCTGAGCTGGGTCTTTGGCCACAACATTGCCAAAATGAGAAAATCCGTCCCTCAAACCTGAAAGTTGCACCCTGGGTTGTCGGTATCCATGTCCTGCCTACCTCTTTCCCTGCTAATAAGGCCAGGAGTGTCTCACCTGAAAGGAGTGTCACTGATGTCCGTGAAGAAGTAGTCGTTGGCCAGGAAAAGGACTCGCTTCTGAGAGAGAAGAAGATGCGCTTGGCGGAGAGGCAGCGACTGCTCGCATCCTGACCTCCTCACCGAGCACTCGGGGTCAACACCTCTGTACCTTCCCTGGCGTGCTGCCCCCTCCCTGGCCACCCCGCCATGCTCCCTTATTGACATCCCTAGGCAGGATCATCTCCAGAAACTTCGTGACCTGGGCTGAGTGTGGGGCGGTCTGGTTAAAGACTGAGGTCTGGACCTGCCTTGTCACCATGGTGGCCCTATGATGTGGCCTCTGAGTGTGTGTGGTATGTGGCCAGTACACTGAATATTCCAATTTTAGTTTATTGTGATTTGTATGAATTTAAGTGATAGCCAATGTGGCTGGTGGCTACAATATCTGGTGACTCCGGTGTCCCTATGGGGTCCGAGAACAGCTGCTAGGAGGCTGGAAACTTCTAAGACACATGCAAACAGTCCACTTACAGCCTTCCCTGTCTAGAGAGGGAGAACGGGGACGTGGTAACCTCTCCACAGAACCCCAGCCCCAGCTACATCAGCCTTTTCCTTGCAAAGCTGCTGTTTTTACAGTTGCAGTTTAATTTGCAGCATCAGGGTGGCAGGGAGCACAGACAGTGGCCAAGGGCACCGGCTGGGCTGGGCACATCTGGCTTGAAGCCCAGGATAGCTGCTCACAGGTCGGGGGCTGTCGGGCAAGTTGCTTCTCCAAGCATCAGAGTTCTCACGCGTAAGCCAGGGGAAGGGGAGTGTTTCACACACCGAGGTGCTGTGAGCCTGGGCTCCGGGCTCTGGGCTCTGAAGCCCTGTGGACAGTGCTGCCTTGGGCCATGAGATTATGTAACCATGAGGCCCGTGGTTGGTGCAGGACTGACTTTTCTTTACTTTAAAAATTGGAGTGAAATGTTGGAAGGGATGCAGAGGAAGACAGATGCCAGGGATAGCTTGCATTCTACAGGAGAAGAGCATCAGAACAAGCCAGCCGCCTGGATTCCGGCCCTGTCCTCAGGGTCCATCTATGGCCTCCAGCCCCCTCTGCAGTCAGCTCCCTGAGGTCCCCTTATCACAGGAGATAAGAGGATTTCTCTGGAGGTCATCGAGGGAGGTGGGGACCAGCCCAGGGGACAATGACTAGGAGCCCAGGTGGGCTCTCTTGAGTAGCAGAATTAGAGGTCATCTTTTTAATTTTTACTTCTTTTTTCTTAACTGTGAATCACATAGATCTTAACTATATTATTCAATTAGTTGTTTTTAAGATCAGGGTTGAACTCAGGACCTCGTGCTTCCCACGAAGGGGCTTAAGCTGCTGAGCTATCTTCCTGGTCTTAGTTACTTTTGATTAGTTTATATATAGCCAAGAAATTACCTCTCCAGTTGTTATGGCTTGTGCTTGGATGTCTTCCCAAAACCTCATGGGGGTCATGGGGGATGGGCTTTTCAGAAGGACCTGAATCTAGAGTCTGTGATTGATTTTTGGTCTAGTCCTGGGATTACGGGTGTGAGTGCTGCACCCACCCTAGGGCAGGTAGCCTGCATACAATATAAGGGACCGAAAAGAGCCTGACTCTGTTCTCCCCTCTTGTTTGTGGCGTCTTCCACCACCATGAATGCTTTCCCCTCTGCTATCCTAGGCTGTCCTGGAGCCAGCTGATTATGGACTGAAAATATACAAACTGTGAGCTAAATAACACTTTCCTCCTTTATCTTTGGGTGTGAAGTATTTTGTCTCAGCTACAAGAGAAAAGAAACTAAGATACCAGGCACCACATGAGAGAGCTCTACAATCTGCCCGGCCCTTTAGTTTACCCGTGTCCCACCCTCTACAGCAAAGCGTTGCTCTGAATTCCATCCCCAGAGTTGCTGGGCCTGTCCCTACTCTGTGCACTCCTTAGGCCTCACTTCTGTTGTGCAACATGTTTTTAAGATCCATCTACCTTGCTGTGCATATCAGAAGTTGTCCTTTCTGTTGCTGTGTACCACAGACATGTATGGACACCCTGTAGTTTTGCTTCGTTGTTTGTTTTTTTTCCTGGAACTGGGGATTGAACTCAGGTCCTTGTGCTTGCCAGCCAAGTGCTTATTCTACTGAGCCATCTCCCCGGCCCGCAGTTTGCTTCTATATTCACCTATTCATGGATACTTGGGCTGTTTCTAGTTTGGGGTTATAGTGAAGAAAGCTGCTATACCACACCGAGATACAGTTTATGGACATGTGTTTTCATTTGTCTCCGTAATAGCTAGAAATGGAATTTCTGGGCCATTTGGTAAAATGTTTATTTTATTTAAAAAAATCTGCCAATTTCTCATATGTTTTACTATTTTATTCTTTTACTATTTGATAGTAGAGTTTAATTTTTTTTTTTTTTTTCAGTACCAGGGATTGAACTCAGGACCCTGCACTTATCAGGCAAGCACTTATTCTACTGAGCTATCTCCCAGGGCCCCTAACTTCTTTACACTGGTGTCAGCATTTGGCCTTTTAAGTTGTAGCCACTGTTAAAGGTGTTAGGTGGAAAATCTTCAAGTTTTAGTTGGCAGTTTTGTGACTGGCAGCGTTAAGTAATCCTCCTTCCAAGCGCCAATTGGTCAGGTGCATATCTAGGTGGCATTAAGAAGGGTCTGGTCAAGTCCTCTGTTCATTTTTACTGGGTTGTTACTGTTTCTTGTTATGACCTTGTAGGTGTCCTTCACTCATGTTATGGTTTGGGTCTACTTGTCCCCCCAAAGCCTCATGCAGTCATTGGGGTGGCTTCTAGAGTTTGTGGTTAATTCATGATCCAATGTGGGGATCATGGGTGTGAGTGCTACACCCGCCCTGGGGTGGGCAATCCGCATTAGGATAGAGGGGGAGGGGCTTGCTCGCTGCCACGCCACTGCTCCTCCCTTTGCTCTTTGCTATTTTCCACTGCCATGAACGGCTGCTCTCTGCCTTGCAGCCAGCTGAGTTGTATTAAAACCTCCACTAACTGTGAGCTAATTTTGGGTGTTGGGTGTTTTCTCCCAGCAATGAGGAAAAAGTAACCAAGACAATGCATTTTTGGGTCTTTTGGTTTTCATTTTCTTACAATTTCTTATATTTTTTCATTTCCATCTTCTTTCCTTTTGTTGAGCAGAAGAACCTTAGATGTTTAATGAAGTTCAGTTTATTACAGGGCTGTTACTTTTTGTGTTGTCCCAAAATGTTTTGCATACCCTCAAGTTGAGAAGATTTTTTTTCTTGTAAAAGTTTTATAGTTTCAACTTTATATTGCAGGTTATAGTTCACCTTAAGATAAATTTTGTGTGGGGTGTGTGATTTGCTTCAGTGCTTTAAAACCATTTTCTTATTGTTTCTGAATGAAAAATTAGCCTTCATTTCTCTCTCTCTCTCTCTCTCTCTCTCTCTCTCTCTCTCTCTCTTTCTTGGAATTGAACTGCCAACCTTGTGATTACGAGGCAGGCTCTGGGCCACTGAGCTGTATCCTTAGCCCTATTTTTCTTTCTAGAAAGCATCTACTTTTCTTTTAAATTCTTTGAATTTTTAAATTTTCAATAGCTGGTCTATTTCATGCCCAGATGTGGTTTTATTTTTGGTTTTATTCTGCACAGGCTTGCTTGCTTGCTTTCTCTCTCTTTTTCTTCTTCTTCTTCTT